GTCCTTAGTCTATACTGCATTGTTCTGAATTCTTAAGACATTTGAAAATTGCTCAAGGTCAGAGACTATATATATATATATATATATATGCCTAAACCCACCAGCGTTTTACAATGCTATGTAAATGAGTTTTACTTTCTGCTGTGAACTATTCCTCTTCACAAATTCTCTTACTGTCCTCCAAACTTGGCCTACCCCAAAGCACTTTCATTTTAACCAAACACAATCTTAACACATGTTCAAGTTTGTTGCTTCAAAGATGTGGTATGCTTGTTTTACAGAACTTCACAGAATAATGGCTTTATACAAGATATGAGAGACTTGTTCCCAGTTGACAAATGAAGAAATTAAAGTAAGAAGCTGGTCTGTGGTCTTTACTAAGACATTTGGTAACCTCTACTATGAAATGTGATTTGGTAATAAAATATGACTCATAGCAGCTTTACACTTGATTTTTTATTTTTTTTTTTTGGTACAGAGATCAAACTCAGTACCTTGCACTTGCAAGGCAGGAACGGCGCCACTGAGCTAAATCCCCTGCCCTTTAAACTTGATTTTTAAAATAAGCAACCAAAATTTTCTTTAAAACATTGCATAAAAATACAAATATAATTGGCAAAGTCAACTGCCATTGCATTACTATTATTAGCCTAGTCTGACTGCCAATGTCAATGATATCTTTATAATAAACATTTCACTTTTTCTCCATCAATATTAAATTTTATCCTATAAAATTAGCTTTGGAACTGAAGATACATTTGCAGTTTCACAAATACATGTACCAATACATGTGTCAAGATACAGAAACACAGAAATACTACCAACTCATCCTTTGGCTAGAATTGTACTGCACTCATGGAGATGTTCTCTAAAGGCACCTACTTGTTCTCGTGTAGTGAAAGGAACTCATGCTGTCTTTGACTCCAGGAGTTGATAATTCTCTTTGGGAGCATAAATAAGCTATACAAACACTGATCCTGTAACTTTGGCCACTGTGACCAAAGAAGTTAACAGATGTAGTGACCACACCCACTCTCAAGTTTAACAACCAAAGATAAAACATATCTTTCTCTCACCAAATTTCTTAAAAGTAGCACTGTACATATTAAAAACTTCTTGGTGAGTGGGAGAGTTCTTGGTGAGCTGATGCTTCAGTAACATCACAAACTCTGTTATTTATGAAATGTTTTTGCTGTAATCAACAGGCTGGTGTTGTAAGATATTTGATAATATTCATTCCCAATGCAGATCTTTCTGTGGGAGGCAATGAATCTTTGAGTGTCTAGAGGCAGTACAGGAAATTCATTAGAAGGTTGTTGAGATTTTTTCTTCTTCTCCTAAGTTCTATTGTTTATAACTATACATACACAAATGTATGTAGATGGATAGAGATATATATATAGACTGTATAAACTAGGGTTCTAGTAAACTCTTGGCTCTATACATAGGATAATCATTCGTGATACTTTTTTTTTTTCAGTTTCTACTCAGAGTCAGGAACTGTGATAGGTGTAGAGGCTATGGTGAATAACGTAGCATAATGTTGACTTCAAGAGTTTAAAACTAACTGTAGAAAAGATGAATAAATGAATACACTCAATAGAAGTATGTACAAAATGCTATGAGGGCATAGAAAGTAAAAATCAGTTCCCACATGATGTCACCAATAAACTGCATATTGAAAGACAGGAATTTACTGAGTAGAGAAAGCTGAGAAAGACATTTCTGGACATAAAGAATAGGATGTGCAAGGGTTTGGCTAGGCTGATGGAAACATAATCAAGGGTAGTCAGCAAAGTGAAGCTACTTGAAGTCAGGTGTGTAATTAGGAAGACTGGAAGCTAAGACTAGCTTCAGATAAACTGGGATAAATCAGAAAAATGAAATCTCTGTGCTTTCCCAAAGAAGTTTTAACTTAAACCACAAGAGAGTAGGGATCCCTAATCAAGGACATCCTCAGAAGAAATTTCATTTTAGGCAACATTTTTTAAGGAAAAGTATGGAGTATAATTGGAAAGTAGAAAACCTGGAAATGGAATCCAATGAGAAAACAGACTAAGCCATATGCAGACAGCTGGACACCAAACTAGTAACGAAAGTAGAAAGGGCAAAATAGATTTAAGACATACATAGATCTAAGAAGAGCTGATGTTGTAGAGGCAGTAGTGGCTGGGTGTTGAGGTAGATAGTGAAGCTGCAGATGAGGGTTTCAGTCTGGTGTAATTAAGTCACACTGTGATAAAAGTGGACAATAAAGGAAGAGGAATGAGGAAAACATGAAGTGTTTTGAGATGTTCTGAGTCCATGGTCACTTGGAAATACCCAGTTAGAGCTTAGAATGAATAAAAAATACAGTATGGATCTATAACAAGCCAGCAGAAGAGAGGGCATTTGGTGGCAGCTGAGGCCAGTAGACTGAAGGAGATCCTCAAGAAGCATGCCCAAAGAAAGAATGAGAACAAGAAGCAAAAATCACTCATAAATCCATAAGGACTACTAAATATTGAGAATCAGGCCAAAGATATATAGAAAGTAAAAAATGCAGAAAAGAGGAAGAGACGCAGGGACTCTGGAGTGGTGTGTACTGATGTCAAAGAAGAGAATTTTAGAATATTGTTATCATTGTCAAACTACAAATGATACAGTTAAATAGGACAGTTACTGTAAAGAGAAAATGGAGAAGCTGTTGGTACTCTACCCAAAAAATTCAGAGCAGATGGTAATGAAGATTTGGGGGAGAGAAAGTGAAAGCCAGATTGCAATGAATTGAACAGTATGGGAAATGTGGGGAAATAGAAACAGAGGGCTTGAATATCCTTACCTAATTTCCACCGAATGTGTGCTTTGAACCCTAATGCAAACATCAAGAACACTGCCCCCAGAGCATAAAGCAATAATAATTGAGTGAAAAGGAACAGGTCCTATCATAGCCAAAGGCTGGGGAGCAAGTTTTTTGGGCTCAGAGGCTCACAAGGCCAATTTCATAGACATGAAACTAGTGCCATCATATAGGATCCCAGGCTTGTTTAACTGTTCACTACTGGCTGCCGTCTTGGAAATATTTACAATTTTTGCACTGGACCACCACAGAGTATGTAGTCTTACATACCTTCATGTCTCCTATTTTGCCCAAGATAAAACTAATTGGCGTATAACATAGGTGATCTGCTAGCCATCAATATGAATGGATTCAAAAACTGAGCTTCTTGCCTCGTTTTTATCACCTTAAGTATGCTTAGACCAAAATTTTTCATTAATTTTAGTAATGACATAATAATAAATGATGTCTTAACCAATTACTGTAAGACATTGTCGTACACCTATTAACTGCTTTAATGCTTACAATACTATGAGTAATGTTAGTATTAATATCACCTGTAACCATTATAATCATAGTGATAATTATCATTATGATAATAGAACCTCCTATTCAAGGAGGAGTCAATGCAGGCAAAACACCATTAAACAACTTATATAAAATCATACAACTAGTAAAGGGTAAAGCCAGGATTCAAACTCAAGTGTCTAGCTCCATAGACTGCACTTAACCAAACTATCCAGTCCTCATTTTCTGGGCTCATGACCTTGGAGGTTTTTCTTACCTTTGATCCCGTTTGTCTAGTCATCCACCATTGGAAACCTGCTCTACAGAGAGTTGCTGCAATGCTACAGGAGGAAAGCATCTTTCTCCACATGAAGTATCAAAGGCATTCCGTTGTGGCTTTGGGATCCTAACTTATCAAATGTCATAGATCAGTACACATATTTCTCCCATGTCAGAAACACTGAGATCATAGTGACTGCAACATGGAATGGGCATGATATCCATCCAAGGTCTTTGCCCTTTCCTCTTCTCTCTCTGTCCTATTCATGTATTTGATTATCACCAGAACTTTTAGTTCTCTTCCAGGAAGGCTGAGGTTTGGACTTGGCCCATTCCCTACACAACCAGTTTCTTCACTATTCCCAGGTACCATAGTGAGCTCTCTCCCCCAATACTATTATTTTCTCTGAAGGCAAAAAGAAGAGAAATCACCATTAAGATTTGCAAAATGAGGTCTGTCAAGAGATATTCTATAAGAGTGTTCTCTTTGAAGAAAATCACTGCAGTTATAAAGGAATGGAGATGGAAGAATGGGCTTTAAACTTTTCTTATCACTGGATGCTTTTGAGGAAATGAATCTTTGGCAAAACCTCAAAACACAAAATGATAAGGCAACATGTTAAAAATATAAATGTATTCTTTCAAAGCTTTACAGCTGTTAACATTTGTTCCTTATGAAATCAGTCAAAGGGGTAATGAGAGGATTTCTAGAACCATAAATAATTTTAGTGTTTTAATGAACTTCATGGACAGCAACTAAGACTTATTTCAGCCTCAGCCTCCCTATGATTCTAACAATTGTTTTAAAGTCTGATGCAACACCTGAATTTTTAAATTATGGACTTAGACTATAGCAAAAAAGATCTCAAGTCCATGCTGAGGAGAAAAGTGACAACAGTTCCATGCTTTCCACTGTCTTTCAAGGAAAGGTAAAAGAACCAAAATGTATTGGACTTGACAAAGTGTTAGGTAAACAAAGCCATGAGTATTAAAGTTTAGGCTCTAGTGATTAGTAGGGAAGCACAGGATAATAAGCACAGCAGGGGGTCCCTCAAGGTACTTTCGACTCCGACTGTGTTTATTATCCAGTATCACTATGGAAATATATGCCTGACTACATTTATGGTGTCATTTAGAACTTTAAAATAGGCTCTTATACTTAGAAAGAGTTTACTAAATTACTCACCCTGTAAGGTTTTCCTTGATTAGCATAATTCCTCCCATTATATGCCTTATCAAGAATATGTTTTCATTGCTGGGCACGCATTGCGAAGAGACATTCAGGGGTATGTTTTCATAGTATCACGCCAATTCTGAAATACCCAGCTATCACCAGCTTTGAAATACAATCTCCTTATATAATTTACAAAGCAAACTTCTCAAGAGTCACACTTACCCCTGTTGGTGAGCAGAGTGAACATTTGTCCCCTGGTTCTCCACCAAAGAGTTTTCCTTTTTAATTGCCTGTGATGTCAACTTATCACTTTTTAAAGGGAGAAACATAAGTATCAATGGCAAGAGCACTCATGCAGAATTCACAATTCCTTCATAGATAATAAGAATACTTAGGCAACCAAAGACATGCTTAACTAAGAGTGGAGCTATTAGGAGGCAGGAGCCCATGTTGGTTTCATCCCATCACCTAACATTGATGGTGCCACTTCCTGGGGCCTTCGGGTCCCTGTGTGCATCAGCATCACTTCAGCATGCCAGGAAGTTCCTGAGTGCACACTAGATGGCAGCATGGTATACTGGTCATAGGGGAAGAGTCCAGGCCCAGCAGCCAGAGGAGAGAGAGAGAGAGGGAGAGGGGGAGAGAGAGAGAGAGAGAGAGAGAGAGAGAGAGAGAGAGAGAGAGACCCTTCCAAAGGGCCCCAGCTTCTCAAGTGTTTTTTGCTACTCAACTTAATCTGGCACTGTGGGTCTCAGTGGAAAATCCCCCTTAGGACTGCAGCCGACCTCTGCACTGCACTCTGGGTTTCTTCAAACCCTGTGAAAAAACTTTTACTTTGTGTAGTTCTGTTCCTCATCTTCTCATCTGGAAATCTGGTGACGAAAGACTGTGGTTGCTTCAAGTGTGCTCAGTGAGCACCAAAAAGATCCTTTCGGTTCATTCTGCGCAAGCTGCACATGGTGTGTGTTTAAATCCAAGTTATCTTGTTGTAGGACCAAGTATTTCATTTACAAGTGGTTCCCAGTCCCATCCTGGCTCCCCGTTTTAAGTGGAATGGGAATGGGAGCTGTGTGCACACTACAATTTTAGGGGCCAAGGAAGAGGAATCTGCTTGTAGCATTTTAGAGCTGAACAGGAGCTTAGAGTTCACCAGTCAGATTTAATTTGACAGATAAAGAAACTGAGACCAGAGATCTTCACTTGCCTAAGGCCACACAGCTTGCTAGAAATCAAGCCAGTGCTGCAAAGCTGATTTCCTTATACCCTGCCGGGGCCTTTTCCATTACTCCATGTGTGATTTATAGAAAGTCATAAATCCACAGCAGATGAAACCTCCGGGCCCTCAGAGCTGAGCTGGCTCACCTCCCCATCCCGCTGCTGTCCTCCCGCTCCGCTCGGCAGTAGCTGACGCCTCAGCCCAGCCCGGGAGGGACATCCCTGCTCTGTGCTGCAGTCCTCCTTCTCCTTGGGCAGGAATGAGGGGAAAGCGGGAAACTGGAGAATGGATACTCACTGGGAAGCTGGACGACGCACACAGAAGTCCTGAAATACTGCAGTCCTTCTCTTGGCATTTCCTCTTGACCAGAGAAGGAAATACCAGAAATCTCATAAGTGAACCCATTTGGGCAATTTTTTTCCTACTCAGTATTCATATAGTTCACATTTTTCTCCAAACCTTTGAGTACTAATTTAAACCGTACAGCCTCCAGGCCCCCTAGAGTTTTACCTATCACTAAATATCGTTGATTTGCAAAACACAAGGATTCTTTTCCTAGAACAGACTCTCCTTTCATGGCTTTCTTCAGACACTGAGCCTTTTCCCAATTAAGCTGAGGCTGGCTTCTCTCTGGTTAAGATTACAGACAAACACCACCACCCTTTTGCCTGCTCCAGCCACCCCTCCCTTTGCTTTGACACATGGTTCTTTTGATCTCAACCCCAGACTATCGCCCAGGCTCCTAATTATTCATGAGCCATAAATCATGGCGGTAATGTGGTCCTTGCTAGGGGAAAGGAGTATTGTTGGGCCTGGCAAACTGGGTGTGTTGAGTGTTTCCAAAATCAAAGCAGTAGGGGGAAGGAAGGCAGGAAGAGTAAAGATGTTTTAAATGTTTGTAGAAATAGTTGCTTTGATGTTGAACCCTCTCCCAGAGGAAGTCAACAGTCTGAAAACGAAGTCTGTATTTTTTCGTATTTGGAGAGGTAATGAAATCCACAAGCCCCCACTAGAGGCAGGTGTAAGCAGGGGCTCCTCAAGTGAGCACAGAGCACATTTCCAAGCCCACAGAGCATTTGGCATAAACATGCTTCTCTCTGCCCACCTCTTAATTTTGTTAACTTCATTTTAGGGACTCACTGTATGGGAAATCTTGCTAACTATTCTGTGACCTTATTGAAAAATAGTTAATCTGGTTAAGTTTGGCATTTTCACCAGGAAGCACTCTGGCAATGCCAAATTCTTTTTTAAATTTGGCCTCCAGGATATGCTACTGAGTCTGTAAAAATCCGAGTAGTTTCTGTGGTATGGTTCAGGGTCAGTCTAATCGAGGTACAGGTCACATGCATCCAATACTAGCAAAGTAAGAAGGCTCATACACTTAACAGAACTGGAAATTATTCCTTTTTTTATTTCGGGATGAGAAGTGGGAAATGCTGTATAAAGGCTGAGAATAACTTATTGACATCTTTTTATTGGTAAATTCCTTCTCAAAAGCAAAACCAAAATATGAGAGATTTTCTTTTCTATAATTTGGTTGTATGAGCCACTGTTATTAGTTGTAATACTCAGACAAGACTAGATTGCAGCGAAATTGTGAGGTTTATCTTTATTCAACAAATATTTATTGAAGATCTACTCTGGGCTAAATTCTGGGGTTGTGACAGCTGTGAATTTAATAGCAGGTAAGATTAGTGCCATCCTTGCTTTTAGGATACGTAAAATCTAAGTAGGGTTGACAAACTTTCTGAAAAGGGCCAGGTAGCAAATATTGTAGGATTTTCAGGGCATACAGTCTCCCTCACAAGTTCTCAACCCTGCCCTTATTAGATGAAGCTGCTGTAGGTAGAACCGGGCATTGTTTCCATGTAATAAAACTTTATTTAGAAACACAGGAGATAGGCCAAATATGGCCTACAGGCTGGTCTTTGCCAATATGCCCAGAAAAAAATCAAGTTCAAATTTAGAGAAAATGATGAAACAGAAGGAGAAACACAATGAAGGGGAAGTATGGAGGACCGTGCAAGGTCAGAAAAGGGCTACCTGTTCAATCCTAGAGTACACGCAGGGCCATCTGAGTCAAGTAACCACCAAGTTAACACTTGTTAGGTTGGCAAAAGTTGATCCAGGGAAAAAGGTTGAAAAAGAATACTTCAAGGAAAGGGAGTTACCTATGTCACAATTCAGACAAGATCACAATTGGGGAAACAAAAGAGGCTCTAGATCACTGGGTAGAGTTGAGGTGGGGCTGGAGTAGAGACAGCATGAAGAAGCTAATCCTGAGGGAAATGGAGAATCAATAAGAGTTTTGAGCAAGACAGTCAGAAATTAGATGCAAACATCAAAGAGATCACTCTGGCATTTAGATGGTAAATCTTTTCAGGAATCTCACTGCCTTCATATCTAAATGGAGGCAGGAACTGCTTCACTACTTCTTTCCTCCAGTTCCTCTTCAAAAGCATCCCTGGGGGCAGCTGGACATAGTTCCTAGGTCTCTCTTCAAACACCTTTATTTTCAGAAAGATTGAAGCTTAGCTAAATGGGCAGTTTTACTGTGGGATTTTATGCAAAAGGCCATACAAGAAAGATTTATTGTGGGAAGAGCCAAGAGAATTAGACAATCTAAGCTTCCTAGAAATCATAACATGTATCAGCTTTTTGTTACTATAACAAACACTTGAGATGATCAACTTATAAGGAGGAAACATTTATTTTGGCTCACAGTTTTGTAGGTTTCAGTCCGTGGCCAGCTGGCTGCATGGCTTCTGGGTCTGTGCTGAGCCAGCACATCATGGTGGGAGTGTGCAGCAGAGGAAGTTGCTGTCCTCGTCATGGCCAGAAAGTAAAAAGAGAGAGAAGAGGCCAAAGCCCCAACAGGACCTGCAAAGACATTCCTCCAATGACCTAACTTCCTCCAATTAGGCCCCGCCTCTTTTTAATTATAGTTGTAAGTACATATAAATCATACAAATTAATGAGTTTCATAAATGCTACTATCCTCTCCTACTTCCCTCCCCTGGTCCCCTTTCGCCTTCCCGAATAGTAGGCCCCAATTCCTAAAGGTTCTACCACCTTGCAATTGGACCATGGGCTGGGACCAAGGCTTTAACACATGGGCCTTTGAGGGACATTTCAGATCCAAAATATGGCACACCACAGTCATTTCATTTTCAGCAAAGCATCAGTACAATTCTTATGAATTTATCCTAGACCAAGTTTGCTGGCCACATTGTCATCAAACCATCAGAAATAAAGAGATTTTACTTTAACCAAGTGATTAAAGTTAATATCAGCAATAATAAGATATATTGATAGTATAAACTCCTTGATATGATGCACTGAGAAACCATCCCTGTGCTAGTATTACTAAAATGTATAACTACACGCCAATCCTTAGAAAATATTAGAGAAACTCAAATTGAGGAACATTGTACAAAATTAATCAGGAGTCCTCAAAATTGTCAAGACCATGAAAGACAAAGGAAGTCCAAGGAATCATCACTGAAAGTGAAAAACAAATGACAATTAAATACAGTGTGGAATCCTGGACTGAATCTTGGGCATTAATGGTAAAACTGTTGAAATCCAAATAAAGTCTATAGTTAATACTATTGTACCCATGTTACTGTCCTGGTTTTAATAATTATGTTATGGTTGTGTGAGATGTTAACATTAGAGGGAGCTGTGTGAGAGGTACAAAGGAACTCTGTACTATTTTGCAACTTTTCTGTAATTCCAAAATTGCACAAAATAAAAGTTTTTTAAAGATATAAAGACATTTCTTATAAAAATAATCTTGATATATTGTTCCACTTTAAACAGGAAAGACTGACAAGTGTTTCCTTGTCAAGTTGTTGATTTGTCTACTAGTAATTCCTGATGATTTCCAAGTGGCTTTCAGGTTGTTTCATTCTCAGAGTATTAATAGTCATTGTATAAATAAAATAGAGAATTGTGTCACTTAATCACCAGCTCATTTGGAATCTGTCCTTCCATTTAGTGCTGAAAACACTCAGTAGAAGTTTCCCCATCTAGTGCCACTTCTCCAGTTCTTCCACTGTTGTCTCAGGCCAGTGCTTACCTAATGCTTATACAAAGAGACTCTTTGCTCTCTTATAGGTTTTGTGGAATGGTATTGTAGAGGGATTAGCACATTTGAGGGCAGAATTCTGTGAAGTAGACTCAATAAACCAAGATTCTTATCTTAATTCATATATTCTTGGGGCCTGGAGTCTGGAGTAAATCAGTGACAACAGATCCTTTTCTGTTAAAACAAGCCTTTTAGGATAAGACCTTGGCCTGGTATTGGGATCACCTAAGAATAATTTTTTTCTTTCTATTTTCTTTTAATGCTAGTGACTGGGACCACTCCCAGAGACCCTGGTTTGTACTCTTTTGGGTTACAGTGGAGGCACACAATGCTTTAAAATTTTTCAGAGTGGTGTTCCCAGGTAGCCAGGGCTGAGAACCATAGATTCACATGATTTCTCAATTCAAATCTTCTAGAGTGTACCAGTAATTATTATTCAGACAAAAGGAGTCAATAGGAGCAGGTCTTAGTATTCTCTTATACATAAAAGCATTCTGGCCATGAGCACATAGACTATAGTAGGAAGCACTTGCTATCATGTGCTCATGGTGCTGCTGTATTATCAGCTTGTGTGATAATTGTCTTGTGTAATAATTTACACAAACAGCTACAATATTTAGCTTTTGGAATATGCCTTAAAAAGGATCTTTCTAAAGCTATATGTGGATACCTTATAGCAGGGGGATTTCTGCTAGGCCCTTGGGCCTTGAGCATCCTCTCTGTGCCTCCCTATCCTCCTCCAGCTCCACTGCCTACACCTACCTGGAGATGCTCTGGTGACATGTGCTTATTTGGGTGCGCTGAAGGGAAAAGAGGGGAAAATTGCACTGTTTAAAATATAGCACTAGGGCCAGGGATTTAGCTCAGTGGTTTCGCCACCTGCTGCACAAGCTCAAGGACCCAAGTTCAATCCCTGGTACTGAAATAAAATAAAATAAAATATAGCACTAAAAGCTAGGGTAGCAAATCCAAATGCCTGTGGAAAGGCAGATCTGGAGGGTAGGTAATAGAGATATGGGGTCTCCTGGGATTCAGAAAGCTTAAGACACTAAGGGACCAGTTTTCCTCTGCTCCAGCCAATTGTGGCCAGAGAGCATGTTAGTCCAGCAGTGCCAGAATTTTTGAACTTCAAGAAAATAAAGAAGTCTATCGTTGACTTGTAAATGCTGGAAACCAATTTTTAAAATAAATATAAAACATTGTGTAGGCCAAATGAAACACTTCATTGGGCCAGATCCTGCCAATTTGCAGTCTCTTCTTTAAAGGTTAAAATTGAGAGAGTAGAATTGCAGGAAAAACTCAGGATTGAAAGAAATGTTTTATTTTGTTTGGGATAAAATCGAAGTCTTTTGGCTGTTGTAAGACATGCTGGACCCTCCCAGTACAAGCTTGTTTGAAGAAAGGAAGATGTCAGCCTCTGGGGAGATGAGTGCAGACCTAGAGGCTGCCCCTGGTGGTAGGAACAGGGCAGTGCATGGCACGACACTCAGTTGTGTCCAGGCCAAAGTGTGGCTCAGGCAATTATCAA